CCCCAAAACCCCAAAACCCCAAAACCCCTGAAATCAAAAATTAAATTGAATTTAGTGTTAGGATTTGTGATAAATTATAAATTTGCAATGGAAAAAATACTGGATAACTATTCCTCCTCTAGTGAGTCAGACGAAGAAAAATGTTATTAATTATAATAAAATATCCTATAGTTCAAAAGCAAGAGATTTGATAGAAGGAAGTCATTGAGACAAGGTAGATAGTTTACACTACATAAATTTGAGATGCCACTATGAGTTACAAACCAAAGCGCCAATTAGACTATCAATACCATTATGTTAATCATTCCTAGCTAAAAAATGATACTTAAAAAGAGATTATACATTAAAATTAAAAACTCAAATAAGTCAAATTGAGAGAATATATCTTGCATACGTTTTAGCAAGAGACTTAAGTTAGTAAAATATAATGGATGAATTAAAAACAACTGACTTCTATTGATTATTAAGGCTAATTGACTATTTATGATTGCTAGAGATTCAAACTCTAAGACAAGATTAAAATATCTGATTTGCCATTAAAGCAAGTGATTATTGATGAATTTCATGAGAGACTAATAGTTTCAGGGTATATGTCTACAATATACTCAATTGATATGAATACCCTTAAAGTAATAGCAGAGTTTCAACCTAAGCACGAGGAGCCTTGCAAAAAGATTTACCCTTGCATCAAGAAACTAGATTTTAATAGCATCTTAGTTGGAACTGGAAATGAGAACCTTAGGAAAATTGATACTTTGCATCAGGGAAGAGGATTACTTTTCAGTTATGACTTAAGAGATAATTAGTAAGTTAAGTTGTTTATATTATAATTATTTTATAGAGTAAATACTAAGTTCAGAGGGCATTTTGATTACATATTAGATCTAGAAGTCATTAATGAGAAGTATTTCGTCAGCAGTAACCATATTGATAAGATGAAAGTAATTGATCAGAATTTACTAGTGTGGGACATCAGAAATGTGTGTATACATTTTCTTTCAATAATTGTTAAATTTAGGGCTAAATTGAATCCAAGCAAATATACATGGATTTTCATGAGTGCTGTAGACTCAAAAATAATAATCAAACAATGACTGAATTCTATGGCTAATTTAGCAACAATTCAATTTTAACGTTTGACTCCACGTTTAAGTTCAAATAACAAAAAAATAAAGTATAGTTCTGAACTTAATCTATTTCTATTCTTAGATCATAAAGGGAGGACATATCACTAGACAAGTATCCATTGGAATGGATATTGGTGACTATAAGAATTGTAATGCTATCTATTCTGGTAGCTAGGATGGGAAATTATACATTTATGACTTAAAGCAATACAAGCTCAAATAGGCTGTTGATCTGTTTGAATTTGATATGCTAGTAGATGTGGATTTTAATATTCACAACGGATAGATTGCTTGTCTAAGCAGTAAGCATAAACAGTACGAAAATAATATTTCTATTTTGAATCCTAATTTATTTTGAATTATTTCTGAGTGATGGGGTTTTGGGGTTTTGGGG